ATTTAAAGCAACAATCAGCACTGTCTTGAACAACGTTTACATTAACTGCAAAGAATTATTTCTGATGTTGAAATATTTTTTGTTGAATGGCAAAGATTTTTTTCTTAAGAAGAAAGGCAAGATAAATCTCTCAATGTTCTTGAACCGTTGCAGTAGCCATCGATCATTTAAGTGCGGTTTGTCCCTTGTTCATGAGGGCAAGTTCATTATTAAAATATTTCTCAACAGACGTCTTAATTTTTTTCTTATTTATGAGAATACAAACATGCCTTGTAGCTCTTGGATGTTAAACAGCGGATCGATCGCAGTGATCTCTATTGTAATGATAAAACTCTTCTTGAGAAAATAAGCTTAATTGAAATTTAATGACCAAAGCCTAAGCTGTAGAGAAGCATTGACCCCACCTTGGACGCTGTGATGGAAGGTTTAAGCTGAGAGGACACCGTATGTCGACGACGTGATAAAATGACAGAAACTCTCGCTTTTACGGTTAAAGAATGTTATCTAAGTTTTGAATGGATGGGTACTTTCTGGAAATGTGGCAAAGAATTGAAAATTTGCACTTATGTAAAGATCCCGAACAAAATTGAAAAATAATCATGTCATGTCTACATTGGGATTTCAAATGCTACTCCGCAACCTTTGGATGCTAAATTTTTCCTTTTTTGCGGAAACAATGGTTATTTCTGCCAATAAATTATATCGCTAACTATTATTTTACCAAAGTATTATAAATTGATATCAGAGTTCCAGCCTAGAACCGTTCTGTTCTTTACATCAAATGTGCGCAGCTCTGCATATACGTCATCAAGAACTATGCAAAAGATCGGAATATTAGTTATGTCTATTACTATGCCCAATTCAATGTTACCTGAAATGGTGATGAACGATGACGCCTTTAATAAGGGTTCTTTAATTCAAAGCCTAACGCAACGAACCATGAAACACGTTTGCCAAACGATGCAAAAAATACCCGTGGTAGGTCTGGCAGTGGTTGGATCAGGCAATGTACCAGACGATCCGTCTTTCGTTCAGTGTTGACACGACAGTGCTTTCATCACCCGGCATTGTAACCAAGCCAAGTAGCAAAAAATCAGCATAGAATTGAGAATTATTGAAGGAAAGAAAAGATGCGCGGGGGAGAGAGGAAGTGATTCTGGTACCTGGTAGCATTACACCTCTTGAGTAATCTTAAGGCAACAAATAAAGTATTATGTCGCATTGTAAGTATCAACGTTGTCAATGGTTCTGTTTATATGGGACCAAATCAAAGCGGGTACAGATCCGTAAACGAGTTCCACATTGGTAATGAGAGAAGATTAAAAGAGACCTGAATCTACGCAATCTCTTGTAATCACAAGGCCGATGACTACGAGTTTGGATGCCGATCTACTTGGATTTGATCCCGTCTAAACGAGATCCTTCATGAGGACGCATTGAGGTCTGATTAGGGGACACATTGAGGTCAGGTCACAAAAGTGAGCTCAAATAGTCACCGAGAGAAGTTTCAGGAAGGTTTAAACTGATCTGTTCACACTGCTCCCTTTTTAAATGAAAACGGAGGTGAGCTATCCAGTCGGAGATGAGCTAATCCATCGGAGGTGAGTTTATCCGTCGGAGATAAGCTAATCCGTTGGAGGTGAGCTAATCCGGTGGAGGTAAGCTAATCCCGTTGGAAATGAGCTAATCCATCGAAGGTAAGCTAATCCGTTGGAAGTGAGCTAATCCGTTGTGGGTGAGCTAATCCATTGGAGGTAAGCTAATCCGTTGGAGGTGAGCTTATCCGTCGGAGATGAGCTAATCCGTTGGAGGTAAGCTAATCTGTTGGAGGTAAGCTAATCCGTTGATTCCTTGCGTTTGCACTTCTCTACTATGAAAACGGACCCATATGAATACGCAAATGAAAACGGATACTTTTGAAAACGGTACGTATTGAATGGGCCCGGTTTTCAGCGTGAACACGAAAAGCGGAGATTTTTGAGTACGCTAACATCAGCAACTTAATGCGTCCTTTCTAGCACGCAAGGTATCAAAAATGTTGAAATTGAGAATTCATAATGGACTGGTTGCTGTTGCAACAACGTTATTCAAGATTTGCTTTCATTTAAGTTCATTCATGATGACACCAATTTGGTGAGGATTCATGAAAACCTCTGTTCAAAAATGAAGCCACAGACAGCGTTTTTGTTGGAACAGTGTGAATACATACCGTATTCAATGCGTATTCATTTGAAAACGGATAAGTGTGAACGGACAGCGTTTTAATTAACGAAAACGGAGCCAAGCGAATACGGAGCTGTGTGAACGTAGCCTTAGTTTTTGTGCAGATACATCTTGATCCCATCCAAGGTTGAATTGAAATAATTTCGGAATGACGGCGAAAGGAAGACAACGCTTGTTTCAACACTTGCTACAATACATAGATTATATAAGCATATTAATATATAAACATGAAAACAATACATGAACAAAATGGTATCATTTTTAAAGTGAAGATCTAGCCCCGGATTAAACGTATGAATGAAAACTTTAAAGACTCGTTTTGTTTATCAAACTATTAATTGTATGAGCAGCGATTGAAGATTAAAAAAAACTTTCGATGATAATAATTCAAAGTTCATACATTTGCTTAAATTTTCTGTTAACTTTACCTTTTTTCAACAGGTCCGAACACAAGCATTTTGTCGCCAGTACAGGGAGCGTAATGTTTGAAACTTGAGGGTCGTGCACATGAGCAGGTGTGCATGATTTTAACGTAGGTGGGTTGACAATATGGTGGCTCATTCGTCAAAGTAAAATCACGACAACCATTATGGAAGCGTTTAGTGAAAATCAGCGTCATTTTTTGCTGTTTTTTAAATTCAAATAGTTGGAGAAGAACAAAATTCTCCCTTTGAACTCTAATTAATTTCGCAAGTGTGATTATCTTGAACGACAAATTTCTAAATGTCGTGAGAAGTAAAGCAACTGTTGGTAAGATTTGTAAAAAAACGCCGTGCACCCATGAGATTAAGACCTACGGTCCATTGAAGAAAGGCTTGCATAATGAGCTAAAATGCTCAGTTAGATCCAGCTGAATTTCTTTAAACGAGTCGCTGGTGTTTGTCTGAGAAAAATGCAAATATATTTCCTTGAACTGTTCTTATGAGCTAAAGACTTTCAATTTGGTTACCATAGCATCCTAATTGGTATGACGAAGTGTTTTTGACTGAACCTTTAAAAATCAACGTATGTTCGATATTCCTCAAAGTTTACTCAAAAATTAGAATATTCCTAAACTTTCTTTCTATATCTACTCAATCAAAAAATTATAGTTGTGAAAATTCCAAAATACCAGCAAAGCAAAATGAACAAAAGGAAATAAATCGAAGGTGGGTGCTCTACCGAGATTAGGCAGCCTGCGATTTCACTTTACTCGAGCTGCGGAGGAGCAAAATGAAATGTAATGGTTAATATGGCGGATCACAGTTGCACCGAGATTAAATTCTAAAGAATTTTGCGGTAACCTAGCGTCCATGATGATGAAAATAACTATATGCTAAAATTGGTAAAAGAATTATTCTCTTTCCCATCTTTAAATGATCCGTTTTGGACAGAGATGGTGAGAAATTTGGCATTAAAATCATCAAGTTCTAGCAAATAATTTTGACATCGTTTGCTTAGATTGAAGAAGAATCACTAGGCTAAAGAAATAATCATACAAACACTAGCATCAAGTTTTCAGTACCTATATGTGTTTATATGGTTCCCTACATCTGGTACATCTTCATCCTTTCTAAACATGCCGACCCGTTAATCTGTTGAAGAATCCCCAGAGAGATTTTCTTGTTGATCTTAGCTCGCCCAAAGCAGCTCTATGAAAGTTCGAGGGAACATTTTATGAATATATTCAAGACACATTTCTAACTCTCAGTCCTTTTTTAACACGAGAGCAAAACAGAGCGATTCCGTTCGGATCCGTTCCAAAGCTTGTACATAAAGGGCTTGCGTTTACACAGAACGGCTGGCTGAATCTGATCTAGGTTGGGTTTGCTATCCATCCGTACCCGTTTGGATCTGCTCCATGTGCGTTTCCAACTCAGTTCGATTCACTATGGCTCCCATATAAACGTGTTAGATCCAGACAGATTTGGGACAAATTTGAACGGATAGGGAGAGAGGTGAAATTGGAGTAGTCAAAAGACTAGCAGAAAAGAAATTCTCATTTTATTTTGGTATTTCGCAGATCAGTTTGTGAAAACTGTACCAAATTAGTTTTCTGTAATTTATGTTTAGTGTTTCATTCAACATGAAAAGAAAAAGAAAAGTTTCTTAGGAAGAATAAAGAAAGTTCTATTTCACTTTTTTCGAGCTTTATCAAAGCATCATGTCACCAATAAGTTACCTTTGTTTTTTTAAAGACGGCAGCACTTGATTTTAAACAGAATATCGCATGCCCTTGAAACTTGGAACCTTTCTGATTGGATCTGTTACAAAAGCACCCATTTTTTATCTAGATTGACCGATGTCATGCAAACGTGGGCAAAAAACAAGAACCCGATTCCATTCTGATCCAGTCAAAACGAAATCGAGCCACTCTAAACAAAATACATGTCTTGCACGAGCGTAACCACTATCTCAGTATCGAGTTTTGTTAGAAAATTCTAGAAAAGGTGTAATTTACCCTGGTTGTAAACACTACCTGTTCTTTAAAGTCACTGATCAGTGGAACCTGTAATAATAAAGCCTGACCTCTGTTTATTGTTGTAGACGGGTGTTATGTTTTACTTTAAGTTTTATTCCTTTTAGGTGTAATTAAAATTGATTACGCATAAAACATTGAATATAACATTGCCCTTTAAATGACTATTATAAGTACTTGATGTTGCTAAAAGTTTTTTATGTCATGACCCATATAAATCTAAAAAAAACATTTTTAGGGCCTCTAAACAATAATTAGCCCCCCGGTGACATTTGGCTGGAAAGATCAGGAAGGTACCTTGCTCAAGTCTAAATACCCATGTTTCAACAGACAATTTGCTAAAACACGAAACCTAGGCAGGAGAAAAAAATATTGTTTTATAAGAAATTCAAAAATGCTACTGATACAAATGCTATTGGTTTTCGCCGTTTTGGCTGAAACATATGGACAATTTTTTCCACGGTTTGGCTTCGAGTTTCCAGGTTTTTCTGCTCCAGAAGCTTTTGAAGACACCGGATTTGCTGATATTCAGGATCGTATTGCAAGTCTACTCACAGATTCAAAGAAACCAAAAAAAGGCATAAAAACAAAGGTTAAAACTGAACGAAAAGGTATGTTACTCTTCTCTGAACTTCTAAAAGCTTTCAATGTCCGAAAATCTTTTAATGCCTGAGACACATCCAACCGCATGTCGAACTATGCTAATCCAAAATAGTAGGCCAATAGCCTTCACTGTCAAATTATTATTACATTATCGAATTGGAAGTCAAGGTTATGTTGAATATATATATGGCGGAGAAATGAAATGAAGTCTGATTTAAGCTCTTTGAAATGAAAAAATCATTCACTAGTTTTGTTTACTGAAAACCATATTAAAAGTAATCTTTAACATTGTATTATGTAAAAATTTGGCTAAGCATCAAGAAAGTTTGAATAACGCAAACTATTTGCGGGGAATGTCTCTGTTGTTATTGTAATGCTAAATTTCGACGTTTTTGTTTCTAGTCTTAGCTTCATTTACAAGTTATGCAACCTCTTTCTTAAAATAGGCCTAATTTCAGTTCCATGGTGCTTTAAACATTTTAACGTCTTTATGACACAATTAAGTCGAAGCATTTTGATATCCTTTCAAAAACTTGTTTGGAACTTTGGTAATAATTTCTTTGGAAGTAATATTGAATATGTTTTAAGGTGTTAGATTGACCATGGCTGAGCAATTTGGTCTGTGACTGTTAAAAAGTAAATATGGAAATTTTGTTTCATGTCAATAAGAACAACCTTACAATTAAAATGAGTCAAGGTGATATTATAGAAGTTTAAACCAAGATAGGCCTATACTAGGCCATGTTTTTGTGCTGCAACACAATTGGCGAGTCTTGGAATAATCATACGAATAAGCTTTACGACTGACTGATATTAAAAGCAGTCTTTGACTACGATCATTACTCATCGAAGGCTTCCGAAATTACTCAAAACTACAGTTAAAACACAAAGCAAACAGCTTTCTACCTAAGATGCTTTTTTGCCGTGACTCAGTGACTTTAGAATTAAGAGTTTGATACAAAGTCTCTGCAACTTATTTGATCACAATAGAGCTCTTATGTGATGACGTCACAAATATCTATCGTAAGATTTGTTAAATTTGGATTCAATAACCTAGAAGAATATTATAAAATACCTCTACATATTCAAATTAAATTGAATATGTTCCAACTCGGCTGATGTATGGCCACATGAGAACAAGCTTTTCTTCCGGCAAACCTCTGCAATTTTGTCTCTGTTTATAACTTTATGAACAAAGCCAAAATCACATTAATATTCAAACTTGAAACCTTTTATTGGTCATTACTCAAAAGATTCCCAAATTTCAAGATTGTGAATGGGTCAACTGTCAGTCTCTAATCAATATCCTATCAAAGAATATTGACTTTCTGGTGGATTTACGTCAGATTCAAACATTTTTATTTCAACAAACTAATTCACTCGCTATGTGAATAACACTTTAAGAGCTCGAAATACCCACTAATTCTTAACTGTTTCGGAACGTTAAAGATTAAATTATCATTTAGATTGTGTCTACATTTTGATGAAAACCTAATTACTATCAAATGATTTTCTTGAAAATTTTATCACAAAATCCTTTATTTTCTTCATTAATTAAGAAACTTTCAAACCAAATTGACATAAAGCTTAAATTAAAAATTTTTGAAATTAATTATCGTTGTTTCGAAGATTATTTAGAAATAAAATGATTATGATGAAACATATCTCTGAAAAGGCATATGCCAAAACTAATATTATATGCATTAAATAAAGCAAGCACAATAAATCGCATCTATGTTTTACTTTGAATTGTCAGAGGATATATTGCATGAATTTTCAAGTTTTAATAAAATGTGTAGCTTAAAACTGTTGTTTTCTACTCAAATGAGATTTTCAACAAATTACAGATTAGAAAGAATCTACTAATGTCCGTGTATATAAGCTAAAGGCATTTGATGAATTAAATCATTCATTTAATCTCCAAAAACTAATGAAAGAGCTTGAGTGACCTGGTGTTTGATCAAAAGCATGGCTTAGTAGATAAATTATTCAAAATTTCAAGGTCATGGCCTGAACATCTTTGGACTTTATCCAGCAAGAGCCGACTCACCTAATGCGTGATATAGAAACGCTTAAGGTCAGAAATCAACCTGCCATATGCATCTAAACATCTGCAAAATATATAGCAATAACACACAAAAAGCTGATCTCTAACTACAAAGCCTGCCAAAAGTTATGGTACCCTGAACTCAATTTCTAAAGACTAAATACTGCATGCCCTTCTCCCCCTCTGAATAATGTTGCTTTATGCGATGTTAAATGGCTCGGTGTGGTCGAAAGGATTTTTCAGATAACTAAAATGCATTCAGAAACCTCTTGGAGCACCCACAAATTTTACTACATTTTTGGATGTTTCCACCTCTTTTCCGCGCTTCTTAAAGACAAACTCCCTTCTCCTTAAATAATGCTGGGTATAACCAGGGCATTAAACCAATGGCGAGAAAAAATTGTTCCGAAAAGTATAAATTAACTTTGCTATTTCACATTACTGTTTTGGGAAATGTGGGGGATTAGATGCATGGGAAGGTTGACAGACCTAAGACTTTCCTCGCGGATTTCTTGATCTCCAATTTTACATGAAATATTGTTTTAAAGGAAAATGGGTTCACGCTTAACTTAACTTAAGCATTTTTTTAAGCAAGGTTTGGAGCGTATCCATTAACATAACCTTTCATTTTATAATTAGCCATCATCAGAACCACTAATAACCTAAAGCGACATAAGGTAGCAAGACTGTAAAAGTTTACATTTCTGCTCGACGCAATAACTTTTATTTATTGTCCAATGTATTCTATGTTAACGTCTTTAATATCAACAATTTCTTCATGAATCAAAAGTTAAAATCTATCAATAATTTTTGCTTGAATCGCAGCAAATATCATCAAAAATAAAGTCTAAAATGTTTCTTACCGATGGAAACCCCGTATCGCTACCGTTGAAGCCAAAGCAAATCTTCGGGCTTTCTAAGTTGACGAAAGCTGTTAAGACGACTAACTGCTAGTTCTTCAACGTTCTCAAGCTGATAATACTTTAATCCTTGCAATTAGCGATATTACCCACAAGCATATTTTTGGCAATGGCTCCGTGCCAAATTGGCACCAACAAACTTTGCGCAAATTCACTAAAATATTCCAAATTTCTTAGATTAGCAGTAGAAACCATAGTGATTTGCATATTGCAAAAGGTAGTCTAGAATATGCAAAACAAAGTTCCTAATTCTCTGGCAAACAAAACTGGAATAATTACCTAAAAACATCAGAGAGTTTATTTTTCGTTCTGCTTAAAAGATGTCTCAGATTTTACTTTTGAGCTTTAGGGAATCAAACCCTTGATAGACCAGGACCGCAATTTTTCCTATTTTTGGTTGTAACATACTTTTAAACAGATAACGTATTGAAATGTATTCAGGGGCGTCGTGGCGCTGGGGGCAGGGGGCATAAGTCCCCCCTATCATTGATCATTCGGCAATTTGTCGGTAATTTCGTATCTTTTTGGCAAAATAATTTTTGTAGTTCATAAAAAGCAAGAAAGTTCAAATACCTTAATCAGTGTATGAAGGAAGATGTAAACAGAAAAGGTTTTCTGAAGACATTAAAACTCGTGGTTATTTAAATTACAGTCTTCCTATCCAGATTTATACATTTGTACAGGAAATGGCAAGCTTGCCACTAGGTATTAGTAAATGCGACCGCACCTTAAAAGTTCTAGTGTGTAAAAACAGGCTGCAATCAACAATGGGCCAAGAGAGGTTTAATAAATTTTGAGCTCGATGTATCAGTTATGATGAAGTAAACGGCAAGTTTGCTAACACACCATTGCTAAGGAGACTTCTCATGCACTGAAAATTTTCTGGTTCGTTTATTTAGATTTTTAAGATATTAATTATCAGTCCTATACTGATTATTGGTGGTTATGATTATCCAATGTTCAAATAGGGACAATAACGATCAATGTAAGTAAATTGTACATTTCGCTGACCAACCTATTGAGAAATGTTGCTGCAAAGATACATATTGCTTGCCTTTTAAAAAACTGCGCTTGCACTTGGTGACGTCATATTTTCAAATTGAACCCGCAAGCTATGCCCCCAAGAGTTCCTATGTATTGCGTCATATCTTAATTTAACTGAAAGGGCTACATGTGCAAATGTTTTGCCCAGCTCATTTCTTTTCAAGCCACTTGATAGCGAGTAAATGTTCGAAACATCGTGTTTTCAACAATCAAAACTAAATTTATTTTATTTTGGTTCTTCATTTATTCGCTCATTATTATTACATGTAGAAATGTTGATGAAAGAAAAATTTGATGAATTTGTATTAGCAAGGAGTAAGTATGGCCAAGCTTTATACTTCGTCAAGATGCTTTTTGAAAGATTGGTATTATCGGGTACATCTTTTTATAACAGGGCGTTCACTGGCAGGGAACATTTATTAAGGGGATTTTATCTTTGCTTGAGGCATTAAAGAGAGTTTATATTGTCATAATGTTTATAGCGAAAACGTTTGGGAAAGGGAAAGCAAGCAAACATCTACCATATGAACGTAGACCTGGTACCAGGAAACTTTGATATTTCTATCTAGTGCTTTGATATTTCTATCACGATTTGTTATTGTTTCACCAATACTCTAATATTACACGCTTTCTGCTAGTATTACACACACAAACTTAGGTTTAAAATTGTTAATATAGCTTGGTCAAATCATAATTGATATCATTGAATAGCAGTGGTCTAAGAACTCAATCTTGGCGTACACAAAATGATAAAGTTTGCAGTTCATTAGAGCTGATAATTGCTTTCATGATCATGCCATCATGTAAAATATATATGAATCAATATAAAGTTTTGATAACTTAGCTTATCTAGCAATAACGTAGGCAATCAAATGATTCGAACAAATCCAACCATACTCCTTTGAAGAGCTCTGAATTTGTTCAGCAAATTGATAGATGGGTTGTCAACTGTTTATACAATTATTATGCAATTTTAAAAATTTTGCTTTGGTAAGTTGTTGTATTATTGTGAAGAAGTCAGGTTTATTTGTGTGTTTTGGAAAAGGATGTTGTAACGACACAGAAGCAAGAAAACCTACTTGCGAGAGAATGGGGACATCTTGGAAATATCTAGCAGTCTGCCGCGACAATTAACAAGTTTTCTAATCATCACAGCCATTAAATAACAGAGTCTGCATAAGGAATTTTACTTCAATTGGGGCATAAACGTTTCTAGCTATTCAATACACAATCAAATTCGATTCAGGCGGACCTACATAGGAGGTAAAGAAATGATCTGACTAAGTTAATGTCTAACTTACCTGGAGCATGACTTTTGAATTGAATACACTGAACGAGGCCTAGACTTTTCAAAACTTGTAAAAAAGCGGAAAAAAATAATATACATGACTTTAATTGCATTAGTCAATGAATGCAGTTGTAACATTTTATTCTTTCTTTCTTTTACTAACATTCAAGATGCCTTTGTGAATAAGGCCCTTTCTTAGAACAATGACCCGGCAGTCAACCTCTTGACTTCTGCTCCTTGTTCATTAAAAGTTGCTTTGTAGAGATAATTATTAATTGTTGGTGCCAGTGTGAGAGACAATTTTACATGATCTGAAAGTTTTAAAACAAAATACTGACGATATTAAAGCGAATTCATAGCTCTACAAAATTTTAATTTATATTGTCTGGTTTGGTCGTAACAAGCCAATCTACATATTGATCGGTGAGCTGATTACCAATCATATTTAAAAGAATTTAAATTTGCAAACTTAAAAGACTTGAAAATTGAGTACCTACCAAAAATCTCATCAGCCCCAGTGCCCAAGTATTCAATATGAGCTTTCTAACGCGGAGCTATCAAACTTGAATGTGAGACTTTGGTCGGAAGTCGCAACTCAGTCCATCAGCTATCGTGAGTGTTTCATCGTTATCATCCTTAACGCTTTATTTGCTCTCAAAAATTGAAAAATCCATTGTTTGCGAACCACAAAAATAAATTTTCGATGATTTTTGAATGAAACAGTCAAACGCGTGTAATTTCTAATGTGATATAATGTTAAGCAAATCAATTGGAACGATTTTGAAGCTAACTTTCCATTCGTGGGCTAACATTTGAATAATATTACATTTTTTCCTAAACAAACACTTATCATATTCTTTTGACTGTTCTTTGCAAATAGGACATGGTATGTTTTACAAAATAATTATAATTAGTTCATAGCTTCAAGAATGAGACAAGAAGTTAGCAAACATCTCATCCTTTCTTGGAGCTAAATATCATCGTTTCCAAGTAGACTTTACTTGAAGATTTTGCTTTTTGTCAACATCGACTGACCTCGAAAATATATCTTTGCTGTAGGTTAAAACTAGATTTTATTCGGTTGGTACCGTCTACTTTAAAGGCCCTTGCCCAACCGTAATTTTTATGGTTTTTCATGCGCGCTTCATTTGATTCCGCTGACATTATCATACATATCCTCTTTTATGTAAGAAGGAACAAACGCAGGATAGGCTGTCCTTATGTGCAAGGATGGTTCAGTTGTTAGAGGGGCTGACTACAGACCCAAGGGTCCGTGGTTCGAGTCTCTGGCATGACCAAACTTTCACCCAGAGTGGGGAGAGTCGCCAGCTCTCTGTAATTCCAGGCGTAGGAATCACGAGGTGTGGTCACATCGAGAGGAAGGACCAGGACACTGCTCGATAAGCATAGGCTTCTCGGTGTCCTAAAAACTACCTTCGGATGCTAGGTAGCAATAAATACAAATACAAATACAAAAACAAATGTCCGCTGAACTCTGCTAATCTTGCAATGAGTAATAACATGATGCAAGGTAAGAGTCAGTGACAATGCATAACGACGACCACAATCCAATGTTGTATAATAAAATTTGAAAATAAATTAAAAATTTGATACAATTAAAGATATAACTAATTAAATATAGCCGTATAAGTGTTAATTGCAATATGATCGTTCTTTAATCCCGATGATCTGAGGTGATTACCAGCAGAAATGAAAGCGCATGCGTATTAGATTTTTTTTAGTTCTTGTAGATTAACAGATAGTTTTACTTTGGTAGTTACTTCAATTTTATTATCGTCAGCCAGCACTGGAGTCATGGCTTGGGCCATGGCTTGAACAGCACTGGAGATACTGTAGTGCCACTGGCACAATGTGTCACATTTCAAGCTCCATTTATGATCTATCTGAAGCAATGATGTTCGGACATGATCCAACTAAGCCTCTTAAACGAGTAGCACCCGCTACGTCTATGCCTAGATCAGCTACTATGCCTTTCTGATTTACAGCTACTTATTTGTAATAACACCTTCGAGTGTATTGAAAACACATCTAAACTGAGTTGATTTATACCAAATATTTCTGTAGTTGATTTGAATATCTGTGTATTAGGCTATCTATGAAGAAAGTTCAAAATGTTTATCTCAGAACCATTTTTATGACATAAATCTATGGTTAAGCGTCACTTGTGATTTTCTTATGATTGCCATCTGTTCGCAAACTCTTATAGTAAGGTTACAAACTCAGCTGTCTTTAAGTTGTCGTGCTGTTTGAAAATGTACCTGATTGTCAAAAATTTGCAATAAACATAAAACATGTTGTGAGAGCCGAGCTAAGCAAGTTGGCAACATAGTAATCAAGCAGATTACAACGTGTAGAGCCCAGGTTAAGTAGCAAGTCATTAGTGTAACAAGTGGTGAAATGGAGAAAAGTTGCTTTGACAAAGCGTGTCTTACCTTCTGACAGAACCGTCTTTATCACTGCGTTCTTTTTGGCCAAAGGAGATTTGGCAACCATCTTCTTGTTTCAATAGAAGGAACTCTATATGGCAAAGAAGAATAAATTATATGAAGTACTTTGAAGTTTACATTAGCATCTTATCTCTTTGATGATCACGCAAACAGAAGGCCGTGCTACAGTATACCTGCAACTCTTGTCAAAATGTCGAAAACGACTTGAAGTTTCAATAACGCAGGTGAATTTAGTTCATGATAAGCATCTTTGTGAGTTCTGGCTAGCAAAAGCCTACTTTTAAGAGACTAAAATTATCAGCATTTTGCGAAAAAAGTAAAAGGTTATCGATAAGACACAACGATAGCCAGGTGACATCGCCTCGTTGAAGGATTACTTAATGAATCCCGTAGAAAAACATCAGAGATTGATTCAAAGCGAAGATTATTTCCCAGTAGGAGAGCATCTTGCGCCAACATGATTTTGATCAAAAGCTCCTTGTGTTGGTTCAACTGAGTGGGTTATTTAAGGTTATGGTAAACGTTATTGACACAACATTTGGTTTTCTCTCTCTAAAAGCCAAAATATTAGCAGAATCGGAGTAAACCATATATCATTCGATGCACAAGAGTTTTGTGATTCCAACCATATGAAAAATCGTAAAATAATAATTTCCAAGCAAATTTATTGTTTAAATGAGTGTAACATCTTCAAAAACTATTTTGTACCCTTGAGTTTGAGGAAATAAAATCTTACTTGTATCAGCAAGTGCAGATCCCCAGCTACCAAAGAGTGCATCAGATTGTTCAATTTCTTCCTCCCGTTGAAAGTATATCCTGTCAAAAATTAATAACAATTTTTTCTAATCTCCCGCAGTTTTTTTGGCTTCAAATGACGGACCAGAGCAAATACACAACTTTTGAGACACTCCTCGCTTACCCGACATCTGTCCTGTTTGCATATTTTTGAGCCATTCGATTGGTTCCTTGGGTACAAAATAGCTTTTTCATACCTGTATGTAGAGGAATCGGTAGTCCAGAGAAAAGGTACTTTACGGATCACACTTGCAAGGTCGAGGGGCAATTCACTCTTGCAAATAGCGTACGAGATTTTTCCGAAAAACAAAAGGATTTTCAGAGATTTTCAGATAAAAAAAAGAAATTTTACCAATGGCGCAAAGTACACTCGTAAACTACAGTTTAATCCGGGTCAAGTCATTTGAAGCTTGAAGATCAATAAGCCTGTTTGAATAAACACAGCCGTACATGGGATACATGGATGTTCCATGCGATATATTGTAAATGGAAATGCGACCACAACCGCAAAGCAACGATAATCGGCTTAACAGGTCAAGAGATTTTCAGACCTCAACTAAAAGCTTTGATAAAGAAATTATGGAAACCTTCGTTCACATGGGATTTTTTCCATTTTCGAAATTTCTATTAGTTTCAAATTTGGTATTATTGTGTGCCTTGAAAGTTCGCCTACTTGAATGTGAAAAATCGAAAATGGGTGTTTTCATCCTGAAAACGTTTACCGTAATCTTAAAAACCAATTTTCTCATGCTTTCGAACACGGAGAAGTACATTTGTACATCTTGTTTTTCTTCCCATAAAAGTTTACATGGAACATCGGAGGTTACAAGACGATGCAGAAGGAAGCATGGAAAAACATGGCAACCCTGCGACCATAACATTCAACAAAACAATTCAACACTAAATAGAAATCTAAATACTGTCGTTTTTTTATAAGAAACTGGCTATAAGAAAAGAGTACTGGACAGTCAGAGACTTCAGTACTCGAAGCAAAAAATTAAGAAATAATTAAATCGTGATAAAACTGAGAACAAAGAAATTTTGTAAAATCCAAGAATATGACTGCCCTGATGGCATCGAAACTAAGACACAAGGGATAAAAATATACTTCCCACGTCTAAATACAACATTACATTAAAGATTAAGAAACTTGAGTACTCAACATCGACCTTTGTTTGGTATTAAAAAATGAGTGTTTTAACGATTTATCTAGTGTTGAATTGAGTACAACTTTATATGATATAACAATCAAAATGTCATGGGCTAAGTGGTGGGTAGAAGCACAATTCATTTCATTTTTCAGCAAACGAACATAACATATAATTAGGACAGTCCTGGAAAATACCAGCTCAAGCAAACTGAACTATTAGACTTGGTGTTAATAAAGTCACAAGCTTTGTATACTGAAAAGCTTTTCGGTCGAAAAAATTACTACTCAAAAATCATCCCATACACAGCGTGAAACGGAAAGAGAGGCTATTTAGCTGGGACTGAAGCAGAATTATTGAAAAATGTGATTTTAACTTTAGATTTTTTTAGATTATCCATATAAAGAGTAGTTTAAAGCAACTTACCATTTATTTTTATGTTGACAATAAGTAAAGGATTTGTGTGACCTGACAGTTATACAAATTAATTCAAAATAAGTTGAAAGTGATGGGCAAAAATTAGTGCTGCTGTATTTAAGGGCATGAATTCCCAACATAATGGCGGCCATTTGGTTGGTGAACTTCAAATCCTTGTGATCAGGAACGCAGATTGGGTAATTTTTTTCAACGGATGAAGGACACGAAATTTCCGACTAAAATTAAGCCAGTTTTGATTTTGTTCTAAAACTGTACTACGCCTTTACTTACAGAACTTTGACATTATACGGTTTGCCATTTTTTTCTGAGTTGATAGAATTCCGTGGCATACCGCTTTATGATATCATTCTCTGAAGTAAATATGTTTGAAATAAAGACTTGAATCTTTTGAGAACGATCAAAATTTTTGACTAGTTCATAGAGTTTCAATGATTGACGGAGTGGGAAAACCTCAATCTTCCCCGGCATTTACGTGCTTTTTTGTGATGTAGTTATATTCTAAAGCTACGCTGCTTGATTTAAAGCTTGCATCAGCCTAAATTTCTTTCTGAATTTTACTCAAACTTCTCATCTAAATCTGTTGTTCATTCAGTAACAGTCATACGTACCCATAATTTGTGAAACTGGATTTAATCTAAAGCAGTTTCCATGTTTATGAGAGCTAGAAATTTAGATTTAAGCAAACTACCAAACACGGGTATCATATGATGAGCAGAGACAAGTCTATTTCACTAGTTTTTCAACCCTTGCTCTAATGTCTTATGAAACGCAACAATTTTTTTAAAATGGAATCTTACCGACTTTCACTGATATGAGAGGGCAAGCATGCAGAATTTGAATGCAGCGTAGAACTTTGCAAATGACATCTACTGTATTTCAAGAGGCTCAGAAAAATTTATCAAAATGGTTCATCATTAGCAATTGGCTAAAAGTTATTTCGAAGACGGCTCATTGGCCAGGGTCATGGGCTACAGATCTAATTGTCTGGGATTCGAGCCCCTGGCATATTCAAACCCAGAGCGAGGAGAGTCGCAAGCTCTCTGCAAATTAAGACCTAGAAAAAACTAGGTGTGGTCAAATCGAGAGGATGTATCAAGACACTGCTCGCAAAGCATGCTTCTCAGTTCTCATTATTCCAAAACTATCATCAGATGCTAGATGGAAACATATCCAATTCAATTGAAAGTACCGCTCATACAAGTCATGAATTGAAAAACTCTTGATGAACTAGGGCTAAAGTTTTGAAATTTAGCAACATTGAATGTTGCCAGAAAAATAGCATTTTAAAATATGTTATTATTTCTTGATATTCTTTAGATACTTTAATCAAGCTACTTTTGATACTTTTAAATTAGATACTTCTATTAGATTTTAGTCTAGCTTTTCAGAACTTAGATCGACATTCGTAGTAAATTTAATCTGCAGAACATACACTTTAACAAGGACTTTTCAAAAGAAGCATGTTTTTCCAGATAGCAATAAATTCAAACTATGGAAGAATATGGCTTCTGTAGTAATTAAGGTGATGAAAATGTGATGTAGAGATTTTGTTACTTGGAAAGTAAAAAAGCTAAATGGTATTCACTAAGTTAAGGTTGATAGAATAAAAAACCAATCACGCCCATTAGAGGATTTGTTATCTTGTTTAAAAACAAATTTTGATAGTATTGTCTGACAGGTATTTTCACAGATAATGTATCGCAGAACCAATTCATGGTGCTCTATTATGGTGCTGTTACTTTAGATTAAATGATCCGATATAAAAATAAAGAAAAACTAAGCGAGCTCATGGCTTTGAAAAAACCAAAAACTAAAACATTTCAGGGTAAAAATACATTAAGTAGATAAATACTTGCAATAGAATGCCTCAAACTGAAAATTTAAGATCAAAACAGCCTAGAGCACAAAACAATTCAAGCTTTGGCAAAAACAATTTGCTTGTTTGTTCTCCAAAATGCTACATTTTCTTGTGCAGCTTGTGTCGCTGGTAAATGTGATAAGTTATTTCATTTATTCTTAGAACTCAATAAACAGAATAACCTTAGAGCTATCTTTATTTGAAGATTTATCCAAACACAAGCCAGGCAATTTATCAAACAGAATCTCCATTTTAGTGCAAATAAAATAAAGATAGACCTTAGTTCATACTTTGAGGCAAATGGCAACATACCTGAAAAGTACCTTATTCATTTAGCACCTTTATTTTACACCAGATGAAAATCCTATGGAAACTTTCCTTTATTCTCTAGAATTGAAATATTTATACCACTGGCTGGTATCAAGGCAATTTCAAAGTTTTTTAAGGAACAGATTTTAAACAGCAATGGCGGAAGTTAAAAATCATTGTTTATACTCAGGGAAATTTTGAAGCTTATCAATGGGATTAAAAACAAATAAACAAATAAGCATTTATGTTTCAAAAATAAAAAATATCATCTACTTGTACAGTACGGAAAGCAAGGGTGCATTTGTCAAAGTTTCTGATCTTTTGTTTGAAGCTTCATGGATTTTATTGTATGGAGCCATTTAATAATTTACCGATGCAATTGCAGTTACCAATAATAGTAAATGTATTTAAGACATATCTAAATGAATTCCTTTGACACCATATGAATTTTTCTAAACATGCAGCAACCATTAATAATATAGTATTGCACTTATAATAAAGTATAAAAAAGAATAATAAAGAAACAAGAAACAAGAGTAACAAAGTATTGCGCTTATAATAGCTTTATAGTAGTCTAGCTTATAATAATAGAAAATCTAATACAACAACATATCATTAAGATTAAGATTGTAGTCTAACATAAAAAATATAGATACAAATTAAAGTTTTTATAGCCTTTCCACATAAAATTTTGCATTTTATATTGTATTTTTGCTTTGTCTAGGTGCGCAGTTGCGTAAAGAGTGAAGTGAAAAACCTGTAATTTGAAAGCTTTGGATTTTTACGACATAAGCTAAGAATATCGTATTTCACCATTTTCTTTCGGATTATGATGTCAAAATTTAAATGTCAGAAAAATCAGTTCATTGCCACACTATTGGGCAATACCTAATCAATACCTAATCATTTGATAGGCAATTAAATGCTAGACGATGCCAATGTTTTAGCATTTCATTAAACTGAGTTTGCCCATATCTACATTTTATCACTTTGTTATGTACAACATTTTGTAACCAGAAAAAATATTTGCCAACAAATATTTAGGTATTTGCAAAAATATATTTAGATATTTGTAGAATTTTTGTACAAACATACGTATTGACAACAGAAAAGCAAATTCTAGTTGACATAAGCTGCTGCATTGAATATTTATTTGAGTCTATATTTGTCATTAACAAGCAAACCATCGATTTTTCTCTAAGAAGTTGTCATTTTTATAAATTTAGCAATATCATCTATAACGTGTTTTCAAATTACATGTAATTAGACATAAGGAAAAGAAGCTTCTCCAAATTTAAACAGATCCAATGTTAGCATAACACCACAGAAAAGTCCCTGTCTAATATTACAGTACACATAATAATAGCACTTGACAATAACACCCACTTTAAAAGGCTTTGAAACATACAAATTTTCTCCATGTTAAAGGAGATGATCTTATAGACAAGAAAATTCTGCATAACGATCTTGCAACCTGCCTAACCAAAACTTAAACCATAGAAATAAAGGCCACTGACCTTTCACGGCCTTGAGAACAGTCTTGAAAATGACCGGAAGTCATAGCAAAGTCAGCAAAATTTCGACATGCAAAGATTTTAAATTTTATGAAACCATCAGAAAGAGCATGCAAAATTGAGTAAAATATAATATCAATGCCGTTTGATCTTTAAGCTAGAGAGTGATGTTGAAAATGTTTGCTTTGTCAAACAAGAGCTTGAATTTTGAATTGATTCACATCTTCTTTCTGTTAGGTGATGAAAACATAACGACCATCGAGCAAAAAGGAAAAGACTTTGATTCGTGGGCAAAAATCACAACCTTTGGAGATGAAAAGAAGAAAGGAAAGAAATCTTTCTCGAAGATAATTTCAAGTCTGTTCGGTGGGGGACTCATGGGGAAAAGTGACAAAAAGGTAGGGGAGGTTTTGCCTTGTATTTGAAAAACGCTATATGAATTGGACTATGAAAAATGTTACAAGGGACCTGGCCCAGAAATTTTGTAAACAAGAATGTCTTGTCAGCCTAAATTACTTGCATATACTACCAGAGTAGATTATTTACAAAATCTGAAGGACACATTTAAGAGAATACTAGGCAAAGTTACTTATAGGATCATATACTACATCTATTTCCACTTTTGCCTAAAATATTTTCTTAGTTCTGAAGAAAAGTGGGGGGGCTTTTAGCCCTGCTTTGAAAGACACCTTTCCTCTGTTTGGGCTAGTTGCAAAGTTCCCCGTTTGCTTTTACAATTCCAAGGTGGAAAAGGGTTGGCCTAAGCAGGGCTTAAAAACCTTACTTATTCATTTTGCTCACATCGTCAATTCCATTGCTCGAGACATTCAATTTTGTGTTTTCATTTAAATGCATAAAATTTTGCAAGCAAACAGTCCTTGCTATCAACTAAAGAGGCTGAGATGCCACTACAAGAATTCCTTATAAATTGTAAATAATCTATTCAAAAACAATTAATTTGGCAACAAGCTCTCGTTTTTCTTTAAATGACACAGTCTACCTCTGAAAAAACACTGGTTTCGTACCAATTTTTTTTTGATCATGTACAGAGGATTAGGCGTCCATGTTTTAAGATCCTGCGAATCTTCAATGATACGATAGCTTAATAACACATTATAAGTTTTGACGCCAGGTGTAGAGATAATTTCATAGTTTTGAAATTCTTCGTCACCAAACCTGGGTGCAACCTTCTATCTAAAAGCAAATATCAAAATACCTTTTATAGTTATTCCTTTTTCTTTCTGAAGAGCGAATGCTCAGGACAAAAGCCATGCAAAGGTGATAAGTATTGCGACCCAGTTGAGGGTGTTTGCAAAGACAAGGCTTCAGAAGGTGAAAGATGCTTTATGAAAGATCAATGCAAGGGAGAGAAAGGTATAGTCTGTATCTGGGGGAGATGTTCTGCTGGACAACGTGGGCAATCAGGTAGGTTAATTTTTTCCGAGATAGGGTTTTCTTTCTATATACTTTTTTCATGAAAAGGGAATTGTTAATTTGTATTAAATATAGGTTCAACGTTGATGCCAATAATTTATAAACATATGTATGTTTCAATGAATTTTGCATTGCATTGCGAAAGAATATATGGAAATTAAAAAAATTATCTGGCAACAAAAGGTCGTGCAACAAAAATAATCAAATACTTTGTTTTTAATGTGTGACGTCATTGTTCATACAGTTGCTCTCTATTGTACATGGACTCCAACAATTTGATAAGATAGCTAATATTTGCTATTTCGAAAATTTTTCCTTTTTCATTCATTTGGGTAAAAAGGTTTGTATAGAAATTTGATTCGCTAGCTCGGCTGCCCGTTAGCTTAAGCAATCGCTGACTCAAACCTTTTATATTTCCCTTTGAGGATAATTGTCCATTATTTCGAATTTTACGAATTTTCCACTTAAGTGAAGAAGAAGTTTCTAAAATCTGTTTAAAAGCAGATGATTTATTTAATGAAGTGATAGCAATAAGGTGTTCAAAGAAATGGTGTTTCTGTACATGATGATCTTGTGACAAGTCCAAGAGCAATTTATTTCAGAAATAGCACATAGGATTTCAAAAAGGAAGAGAAGGTTTCTCAAGACAGCCTGTTTTTAGAACACGAAGATATGCTGTTACAGTTATATGTACTTGTAGAGCTAATCTGGAATTGGGTATATAAGATAGTTTTGATAAAATTGGGTATAAGTTGTCTTGAATTTTTCTCAATGCTTTGTATGTCATCTTTACCATCCTTTATCATGAATATTTGATATCTCGAACAAATTTCTTTAGAGTAAAAGAAAGCGGATGGCTAATTTACGACTTATTTACTAATCTTTATGTTTTCAATCTAATTTTCAGGCACCTTCTGCAAAAAGGATGGCGATTGTGCAAATGATAACTTCTGCACTGAAGACCCACAAATAAGTGTATTTCACCCAATTTGTAAACCAAAACTAGACGAAGGAGCTTCTTGCGGCAGTATCAACCCTTTTGGCATGCTCAGAATAGCTATTGGTAAACGAGACCTCAGCGCACAAAAGAAACTAGAGAATCCATGTAAATCTGGACTCAAATGTGAGCCTGTTGGGTGAGTATTTTTTTATGCCAAACCTGTTATTATGTGTTTATATTCTTTTATGACAATGATGTAAAGAGCCTTATGACACGATAATATGATCTATCTGTTTTCTGGTTGTTCATTGAATTAAGCTAAAAAAATGCAGCAAAGATTGAAATCGCTATTTACCTTAAATACATTTTTTTCTTTCAGCCAAGCTTTGAATTCACATTTTCCAAGATCTTTGATAGCAATAATGCGTATTTAATATATATACATCACTAGATTTTATCCCTTAATTACAACAGCCTTCTGGTTTCAAAGAAGGCTTGGCATTGTTTGTAAACAACTGTAACAAGGCTAAAAGAGTCGACTTTAAGAAGGAAAAATTTCAAGAAAATCAACTTTAAGGGTTAAAAGAACACAAACATGAGTATTTAGGCATTGCTTTTATGTTGTATCAGAAGGCACATAGACTAAACTAGTGCACAAATTTCTGTAAATTCTTTTAAGAGATTTGTCATATAAGCCGCAATTAGATAGCGATTATTTTGAAGCAAATACGTGCTCGACTACTATTGGTAACGCAATATTAGCAGATTATGTTTCTCAATGGCCCTCTTGCTTTCATGAAACCTCAGAAAAGAAATTTAAATTACAAATACCTTAGAAGCAGCATAAGTAACACAGAAAAAATGGGCAAGAGAGATAAAGCCCCTGACGAAATAGTGCTTTGTCATTATTGCAGTCAATGTCTCTTTGATATTTCTTATAAATTTTCTTAAACCATCAGTTTGAAAGTAGATTCATTGACCATTCATTGACTGAAAATCTTTGGATAGCGATATGATGAGAGATAAGATAGGCCTTAAAATTGTTATGAAAGTTTTGAGTAACCTTCATCGATCATATGGAATACACACACCAGTAAAATGGATGTTGGTTTCTTGTACCAGGCTTCACTTAAGACAAGGATGTCTCCCAGAGTTAGGACCCCTGCGCGAGGGGAAGTGCCTCTCTTGTCCTTGCACAATTTAGCAATTTTATTTATTTTTGCAATTTTCTTTATTTTACTGATGCTTTGCCCTTTTTCTTTCCGCTTTGCCCCCATTCCCTCCTTGAATGTAGGGTTTCCTGTCAAAGACATATTTTTTGAATATCAAAAGCAATTTAGATAAAAACCAATCATTTTTTGTAAAGCTATTTGCGCATTCACGTCTGCGCAGTCAGAAGATGTTTCCCGTCCTCATGAAAATGAGCTACTCTCTCACACAAAGGAGTAGTTAAAACAGTTAACCTTTTTACTCAGCCACTAAAAATTATTAGAAAATTCTACATTGAAAATGCAACAAAAGTGGCATATTTTTAACAAGGGTGATAATAAATCTTCAATTGAGAAAAATTGTTTTTCTGTTTGATTAAAAACTGAAACTTCTTCATGTGTTCAGCTCGCCTCTTGACGTTTTCAACTGGCACAACTAAATTCTAAATGATTAAATACGACAAATCTTTTGCTAGACATGTTTATTCTGCCTCGTTTTCCATTATCAGCAAATTGTATGCATCTGTCAAAACAATTTTATTACATTTGACAGACTATTTGGTGGCATGGTTTGTGTTCCTGAGACCCTGAAGATTAAAAAAGAGGAAGAAAAAAAGGAAAAGAAGAAGCCGGTGGAAGATGATGACGAAGATGAGGAAGAGGAGTCAAGTGGAAAGGAAGATGGGGAAAGCGAAAAGCCCGACAACGAGGAAGGTAGGTGTTAATGCAATTGAGTTTTCTAAGTGCCAGGGGTTGCAACACCTTGTTTGTTATCAATGAGAAGGGTTAAAACTCTTTTTTCAAGTAAAGTTAAGAATGAACTATTTTTACAAAATCCTTTGTTTTACTTTTTTAAATATCTAGATTTAAATAATTAACTTCTCGCTGAATAATTCTAAACTATTTTTGTTTGGTGTGACTCTACGATTAAAATACAATTTTTAAATTTTCTATGGTCCTGATAAACAAGATTATTTACAAAGCAAAGTTTTGAATATCGCTTTTCAAATCAAGGTGGCGACATAGTACCATCCAATGCTCAAAAAGAGCCTGAAGATCAACCAACCAATATCAACAATGCCAAACCTGGCAATGATAAAAGCAAGAACAAGAATCCCACTGGAATTGCACAGACAGGGCAACAAAAGCCTCCTAGTGGCCAGGACGAGCCTCCAATACCAGCTCTAAAACCTGGAGTCGGTGTTCCAGGTAACGGGCCTACTAAAAGCTCTGGTGGAAAGCAGAAGAAGAACAAAAAGAAGAAAGAAAGGAAAGAAAAGGATGAATAAATACTATTGCAAGTAGCACAACATTTGTGCCGAGTCACAAAAAGGTTCAGGCGGAGACAAAAGTTTCTTCGACGGAATACAGACACCTACCTAGATGTTGTAATGTCCATCAAGCTATTTAGAAAGCAATCGACGAAAGCTGATAGTTGATAAGATTGCATGGGTTATTACATTCATTACTACGTTGGAATGAAATATTTTTTAAATATTTTGCTTATATAGTCGCTTGTAGTTTGCAGAAATCTTTGCAATATTTGATATGAAACAAGACAAAGTTTGAGCCTATGTTTTTTCTCTGACTGACTTTCTGCTCTTGAAAAAACACGCCACTTGAGTTCTTGTAGTAGGCAAAATTCATTTCCAATAATCTTATTTGTATAAACATTTTGAACTTCAAACTTGATTCTTTGTCTTTCTAGGTTTTAGACAGAGGAAATCCAAATTAGAGCTTAATTCTGTAATATAATTTTTTAAATAGTTTTCTAACGTTTATCTGATTGACCTTCGCAATTTAATAAGAAACTTGTTTAGAGTAGAGTTGATGTGGGTGTAAACGTATTTTATTATTCATGCTTTTCATCTTATGTCTGCAGTCTGACAAGTTAATTTTATTACCAATTCGGATATATTTACTCCCACGTCAACTGGGTCTTACAATTAATTGTGAGGTGAGGTTGATAAAGGTCGCGTCGAGAAAAGGTTTTTCCTTTATTTCAAGTTGAAAGTACCTTGGGCAAAAGATTCAATTTTATATCTTCCAAAATACTGCAGGAAATATTTCTTTTAGTAAATTTCCAAATTAGCTGCTGAAAAATTTCAGAGAGGGAGGTGGGCATATAATACAACACTATATTTAAGATGGCTGGGAAACTTGGGACTTTAAATGTAACGTAGAAATGGTTGAGCACCTAATTCAAGCAAATTCATTGAGAATTTTTAATCTCAAGGATATTATTTTAAGCAAAAATGGGGCAGGAAACAATAATAAACATGGTATAGCGCATGAAAGATTGATTAAATCTCTTCAATATGCAGCTTGGCTCGCTATCTTGCAAAGTTTTACTTGTTTACATTCCAGCTCAATAGCTTTTTTATCATAAACTGAAATGAATCATATTATAAATAAATGCTATCTAGTAATCTTTTAGCGAAAATGGGCTTTTCCATCATTTTCCTGTCTTCTAAAGGGTGTGGCATTATCTAACACCCCGTCCCCCATTCCTTGCCACTTAAATCTGTCCCTGCCTTATGTTATACCAGCAGCAATGAAAACAATCTTAAGACAGAATATTCGGTAAAATCTTTGTTAAAGTCCTGAAAAAAATTGTTTTTCATTTTCTTAGTTCCATGGAAAGGGTTTCGATATAATTCATGAAAGTCCCATATAGGTAAAGATAGAGTTTAGATAGGTAGGTAAAGATAGATAAAGATTTTCACAAAATGATAGAGTTACTTTTATTGTTCTGAACTAGCACGGAAAAAGGGGTATCCTTGAGAAAACCAAATTTTGATTTGCAAAGTAACATTTTTTGGATTTGCCTTGTCTCAAGTCTAAAAGACTTTCACCTTTTCGACATTTTTAAGAAGACAGCAAATGATATTTTCGAAACATGACAGCTTTAACAAATTTTAAAATAATTTTGCAGGTTAATCAAATTTAAAAATGAAAAGTTCTTGAGCTTATCATTACATCATTATATATTTTCTGTTGTCGGATAGGATACAGAAAGAAAATAAAGATTTTATTTTGCCACTTTCAGAAGAGTTGTTCAGAGGTTATATTATTGGTTTGTGGTTGCAATGATGTCATATCAACCCAGTGTAAAAATGACTGCTTTGGCAAACAGGGCACGACATGAAACGAGACAAATAATTATTTATTTTGGCTTTTTTCAACCAAAGCTAAAATACTAACTTTTGGACATCAGCAGCTTGCAAACTGTTTCAGCACATGTTTACATTTAGGACGTTTTTACTCTTGCATTACTTTGGGACCATTTGAGTAAAAAAGTTATATTTATTATAATAAGAAGATATGAGTACATGTGTATAATTAGGTTGTTGGAATTAGCAATCTATGATTTTTTTACGTAATTCTTGTGCAAGCATCGGTGTTTATTGCATGCATTGTGTGTTATTAAGTTTAAAAGGGTTTATTTCATATGTTGTGTGTTATTAAAACTGCAGGACCATCTTATGCAAAATTTTGCTGTTTCGGAATTTTGATTTAACTGTGAGGTATAAAATGGAAGTAGAATCGTTATTTTGGGCGGTAACCCGAATTGAAGAAACCTAATGAAAGTCTATTTTCTTGCTTGCTTAGCAAAAGCAATAACAATAAAAGGAGAAAAGGGTTCAGCAAATATTAGAAGAGAAGCTTGTTACATCAAGAGATTAATTATAGCTAATGTACAGAAGAAAATAGACTCAAACGATACAAGATATTTAGACAAAAGATATGTCACGTGAACCTTTAATTTCTAAAGAAGGAAACTTAAATGAGCTCTTCTGCAAAATCCCTTTGCTCTCTAAACTCATGACGTGCAATCAAGAATTTCTCTTTCTTATCCAAAAATAGTCCATTTTAAGCTAATCAAAGTCTTTTATTATAATAGGCGTAACAACTCTGCTACAGTCATACAATTTCTTGAATATGTGAAACGCCAAGTCTGTGTGGTCTCCAGCAGACTCATCTTACAGCACCATAATTGCGAACGCCTGCCTCTAAAGGTCAAACTATTAGTTTAGAAACTTCATCTGACATGAGCAAAATGACCACGTCCCTTGCAAATAGACTTATACGGCTTGTCCCACCAACTGAGCTAATTCAAAGTGAATTAATATTAGTTGAGTTTGACGAATACCGATCAATAGAGAAGATAAAGAAGATCACACGCATTAGAGAGTCGGTGAAGTTTGCAAATGTTACTATCAACTCCCACCAGCTTCAATTATATTTAGCATTTAAATTCATATTCTGTTAAAACCAGCAATCGCTCTTGTTAGTGTTTGGAAAGATAGTCATCATTTCTTCAGCGACTGAGCTGTACAATCGAGAGAACTTACCGAAGAGGCGTTATTTGCTAAATAGGTTCCGCCATTAATGATCCTTCTCTTGGTTATTAAGCGTGTGACAGCCAATCTTCCTTGCCTTATAGCAACTTCTTTCATAAAATCTCGGTTTAGCTAAGTGATATTCTAACTTAACGAAATACCCTCTTCCTACAAACTTTGCAAACTATGTAGAATCCACCAGGAAGAGGGAGCAGTTGTTTTTACTCGATGCCCAGAAACGTGCTTAGCATCCCTTTTCAAAATGGTGTACCAAAATCGTTGTAGCGACATATTTACCTCTGTCATTACATTTTGGATTTTTCTACCGCTTCCAAAAACCCCGAATTGATAATTGTTTGCTCATCTTTGCTTATATGGTTGTTGTTTTGGTGCATAAGGCACAAAATTTACATTCACATTTTTTCATTCATATTCATATTCACGTTTTTTCACATTCAATTTTTTTTCATTTTCACATTCAGGTTGGTGGAAAGGCAAAATATAAACGAGGGGCTGTACCAGCATTTCACAAAAAGATAGAAGCTCTGAAAAAGCTAGAGTGGCATTTTTCATGATCCGGTAATTTTCAGTTCCAAAGAAAGCAAACAAATTAGATTCCCAAACACAGAAAAAACATTTGATGTGAATGTGAATGAAAAAAGCGTGAATTTTAATGAAATAATTTTGCACCTAAAAACAACCATATGCTTAGCATCTGAATGCAGCAATTCACGCTGATCACTGGCCATGGTGAATTCTCCCATTGAATCTCTTGATAACGGTGACAGGAATTGCAGAAAACTGAATGTTTTTTATCCAAATAAGTCTTTGCGAAAGGAAAGTTTAGAGTGCGAACCCCGAGGACTTGAAAACTGGAATTTGAAGCAGGGTTTCCTAATTCAATGACCCCGAGACATTAATTTCATAAATCACACAAGATTAAAATGATTTCTTTAATAAGAATCTAATTCAAGGAAAAATACAAATGAATGGTTTTGGCATTAAACTCAATTTTAATTAAACAAATAGGTGTACGCCTTCAAAAATAAGGCACGAATCATAGATCTAGATAATGTTGTAGATCTAATGTCTAGCAAGCTACTGAGTTGTGACGTAACTGCTAGCTTTGTCAGTCAAACTGGTCAAATAGACCTTTCAAAAGGCCTTTAATAAATCTCGGAATATTTTCAAGCATATTATTGCTTTCTATTCCATCGTCTGTAAATGCTTCATTATCAAGACTTCTTTTTGCAAAATTTTCTTCCTCTTCATTATCGTCGTAATCATTTGCATCGCGTATAGCGTCGTTCATGTCACTCTTTCCATTTTCTGTCGTGTCATCATAATCATCAGGATTGTCAATCATCATCATTTCATCAGGAAGCAGATTTACTTTACTTCTGTCCTCGTCCATGTCCTCTTTTTTGTGTCGTTCCTCTTTGTTCTTTGCATGCAGTTTTTTGTTCTTATTTTGCTTCTTTGACTTCTTTGCCTTTTTCTTCGTACATCTTTGTTTTTTGTAGAAGAAGTATGAGCTGAAAGGAAGAATACCGTTTTAGTTATTGAAGAACATGTGAGCTCACAAAAGACCACAGAAATTAAGCAGTCTATTTCCTGTGACCTGCGACATGAGCATCTTTCTTTTTCCTAACTTACTTTAGCCCAATTTATTCAAAAGCTATGAAAATAATAGCAGGCTCGTATCGTATCGTATCGTATCGTATCGTATCGTATCGTATCGTATCGTATCGTATCGTATCGTATCGTATCGTATCGTATCGTATCGTATCGTATCGTATCGTATCGTATCGTATCGCACCGTTCACACCTCTTAGTTTGATTCAACGACAAGTCAATATAAAATTACCTCTGTCCCTTGCACTGCAGTCCTTTGAGGCAAGGACAGTTGGTCTTCTTTCCACCCTCTAAAAATCTGCTTGCAAAGAATGATGGAAATCCTGAAAATGTATGCTCTCCACAAACGTCACCATCTTTCAGATATGGCTTGCAAACCTCTTTTCCATTATCGTATGCACAACAGTGATTTGGCTTGCAATCTTTATCCTTATCGCATGGGTCACCTTCTTGGCCTAAAATAGGAAAATTCTACTAAAACCGCTAATAGCATATAGCATGTGTCTCGAAATAGAATCTGTAAACCTTCTCTCTCAATTATCAAACTAAGTTTTTCCCGTAGAAACAAATAGTTTTTGTAGACAGTTAACGATGTTTCACAGAAAGCAAGTATGGCTTTAGATATGTTTGTTGTGTACTCTCAAGTTGCTAAAACAAGGGGGAATAAATTAAATTTTTTAGAGATTTTGCATACCCATTTCCATTTATTAACACTCCCCTAATAATGTATTTCATGCATAATAAACATAATTTCATCCCAATTTAATCATAACTTCGGAATATTTAAGCATTTCAATCTATTATGACCCCCCATTTTAGGACTTTTTAGGAAAATGCCAACTCCACCTTCTTATTAAACCTCCACTACAATTGGGAACTTGAAAGTAGAACAGCAGCTGTAATATTGTTGTAAGTTGGTTTTGGTAATTTGCTTAACGCATGTTTGCCAAAGAAACATTATTTCTAATCAGGGGTGTAGTGCTTTGAAAAAAGAGAAGTGTTCCCAGATTATATCTTGAATTAAGCAAAAGGTATAAATGAGCTCCCTGAACTACCTTTAGCAGTCTTCCCCTATTAAAGATTAATATTATCACTTTGGCGTAACTTTGGCGTAACTTTGGCGTAATACGAGTAGACTTGCCTAAAGTCTACTTTTATCAATCCATGAGGTGTTCTTACTTCTGTGAGAGCAAATTTAAACTGCGAAGAAGATTACATTTCAAGAGGGTTTGGACACGTTTTGACCAAACAGAATTCGAATGCATACAGAATGAATAATGACTTCCGAGACAAGAGACACTTTGTAGCAAGCATTTAATTGTATTGACGAAAATCCTAAAACTTTCTTAAATTTGCAAACTGAAATTGCTTTGTAATATAATATTGATTTTCTACCTGTTATTTCTTCACATTTGCCATTTCTGCACATTGATCCCTCACAGCATTGTCTGTGCTTGGTGCATGTTTGGTTGAGTTTCAAACAGTTTTTGCATGCATAAGACAGTTCATCACAAAATTGTCCTTCCTTGCAGTCATCTCCATTGATGCAATCAATCTATCATAGATTCAAATTTTATGTTGAAAATTATACGGTGTTATGATTAAATGGGCCTCTGATAAAATCTGAAAATCGATTAATGGCTTATGGGAACAGAATTGTCAATAATTCTTTGCCATAATCAACATTGAATTACCCAAGCACGTGTCCTTTTATGCGATATTATTGCATCAACAAAATGGGTCCCAACATTCAACCTTGCTTGACTCAGTTAATGCATTTAAACGTCAGATAGATACATAAGTCAACCGATGAAATGTATGGAGACTTTTTCATCTTTTTTATATTAAATGTTCAATTAATGACATTTCTCTCTTTCCAGTTTCGAAAACTTTGTTATAAAAGAAGTTCATAGTAAATAATTCATCGTTCAGGATCGTTCAGATTTATAATTGTTTATTCTAATTATCAGACTCGTGGACTACTGCTTTGAAGGAAGTGTTGAAAATGGCAGTCTTCAGGTATATCGTAACTATTTCGCATCTCAACAATTCCTTGAGGAGATAGTGATAACAACAATGCTTGCTATTGATAACTCAATTTGTTGACCATGGCCTGCTTACAAAGCAATTGAACTGTATAGGCCATTTCATTCACTGTTTGAAAATGAGGCAAATCGTGTTCCTAATGCAAAAAAGCCAGGGGGTTTTGTCCAGGGCGTCAAAGTAATCAAAAAGAGAACGATTCCTCCATTTTCCTATCAAGAAAAGACTTTGCTTGGGTACAAAATCTTAAAATGCATTGAGCTACACCCCTGCTTTGTATTTACATCTGATTCTCTGAAGTCAACAAACCTACATAATTGATATGCTGGCTGCTACTGCTGTTGCTATTGCGGTCAGATAAATAGGATATGATTGAATTAAGAATGGATTTACTTCAGTCAGTCTGCCAAGAGATCAAAGTACAACTCACTTTGGTTACTTTTCCTTCGCCTTTCATTTCGCCAGACCCTTCTCTCACTTCGCCAGACCCGTTGTCCTCTACTTCCAAGACAGTGCCATTTGCCAGTCTATTGAAATGCCGAGTTGTTCTTATTTTTGAGAATTTCCCAGTTTTTGGGTTCTTCACCCATCTTACCGATTCCTTTATTATTGACTCAGTGCCATCCTCGAGTCTACTAGTTGATTGAGATACGAAGACCGTGTCGTCAACATCCGATTTTGTGGAGACTTTTCCTCGCTTATCGCTTTCGTTTTCCGCCATGTCGTCGAAGAAATCGTCATTTTCGAAATCAAAAGACGCAACTGTAGAAACCAATGCGAAGAGCAGTATAACTTCTATACGCGCCATTTTGGATTTTTGTTTTGAAATCGTTTTACCAGTTGATCGAAACTTATTCACTGGAGGTCACATTGCCACCAGTCCACTTCTACAACGGTCATGATCAAAAGTATATAAGAAAATTCTAGAGCATGCCGTTGCCAAAACCTGCTGTTTTTTACACTTTTGTAATGAATCGATTATTTTCAAAGAAACTGGTAAAATTGTTTGATGCAGCACCTGTATCAAAACGTGTTTGAAGATCGGCGAGGAAAAACAGCGAATCTCTTTCAAAATGGACACGTGCCAGGACAATTCGCCGTGGTCTTGAGAAATACCATGTTGTCAGTTACTTCTAATGCTAGGTAACAAGCAGCAATGGTTATCAATTTAGACCCCTTTTTCCATCTTAGCATGCCTTTTGAATGTTAAAAAAATCTGGAGCTCATTGTGAATTGCAGTTGACGCTTCTACCGAAAAACTTTACGGGAAATGGACACAAGACACAATTTTACCTAAAGAGGGCCTGGATTGTTCGATTTAATGCCAACAAGGAATCTTCAAACCATTAGTTTGATTACCTTCATTCATACCTTTGCTTGATCCTTATTGATTTTATGACATAGTCTCTGAAATACCTAAAGCGTTTCTTCCACCGAGCGGATTTTACCTGAAATTTCCTATTGAGATACTATTGGTGGGTGGTGTGACACCTACCCACACCCCCCGGTCGCGACGCACCCGTTGCAGTTATCTGTATATCTGCTTAATATTTCGTAAAGCAAGATTTTGATTTGAGCAAGGTCCTTTTAGCAAAGAGATCATTGATGATAATAAAAATAACTTGTTTTTTTGACAAAGAAACAAGACATGCTGACGAAAATAATGATTTTTGAAATCAAATTAAACCGCAAGGCTTTATCAAATCAAAGCTAGGCCCTCGATAGTCACACACATATAAAATAAACGCAGGCACAAGGCTGACTTGACACAAGCAAGACAAGACAAGCAACACAATTTGTTCTTTTTACGCACGTGGCTGTGCATGTGTTGCTTTTATCAGTTGGGAGAATAAATGTGCAACCCAAATTAAAAACATTTAGAAACTTTAAAGCAAAGAATTATGTGTAGCCAAAAAAGTTAACTGCGCAGAAAATTTCTGCGGGAGTTTGTTCTGTCGTTTTATACTCTAAAGAGTGTCAGACTTGAAAAAAAGTGAAAAAAAGCTTTAGTATGTCTCAAAATGTTATTCTTTCAAAGCCATTCATAACAAATTAATTCTATGAGCAACCCAGCATTTCAAAATCATAGCAAACTGCATAGGAAATCAGTAATTGAACTTAAGCTCTTCCCAAGTCTTAATTTAGTAGAAAGAACTTTGCGAAAGAATTAAGGTTAAAAATTCACAAGAAATCAGTCTCATATACTGAAATCAGTCCTAAAAAATGACAATTTTGACAGAAAATAGAAACTCAGAAGTTTTTCAGGCTGATTGGAACCAGAGACTCTATACCTAATGGCAAAGATTCTTACAAAAACTTCAAGCAAAGAATGTAGCGTTAGATTTCATCTGTTTCTTTGGTTCAGTAACAAAGAAGTAAAAACTAGAATATTTGTTTTTCGCAATCCAATTCGAAATATTTCATGCGCATATATCCTACAAAGCAGCATATAAGGTTTTATCTGAATGAATATATCTAGGGTCTGTCTTTTAGGGTCATAGAGATTCTGGTGTGATAGAGGCTCTAGTGGGATAGAGGCTCGAGAGTCGTAGGGACATACGGTCTGGTTTTTCTAGCATGGCATGCCCGAGTCACATTTTTCTTGAACATTCTTACCTTTACAAACACGGCGTCCCTGTTTACTCTTAAAAGCCAAATTTTTGCAATAAATGTTGCTTTAAATATGGTTAAGAAAATTTTATCAATAGTTGCAAATTTTACACTCTTTTCCATAATCAAAAACACATTATACATTAAAGTTAGTTTTTCGCCGATAGAATTCCATTTAAAGCCGATGCAATCTAAAGACATGGCCTGAATTTTGAGAAAGTGGTAATTCTGTAAGATTATCAAATATAAATCAAACTCAAGAGGGGTGACCGGGTCCCACTATCCGACAAAGTGGGAGAATCATCAATTATTTGCCGACATGTTTGAAAATTGGTTGATGAAGCACCCGAGATGGCAACAAACGCCTCGTTTTTGAAAGATGTTTTTCTAGAGGGGTGTCACACCCCACAAGAACCCCCATAGCCCATAGCGAAGGATTCATTTATCATGCACGACAAAATTGATTACACCATATAACGTAAACTCTCGCATAAGCCCTTGCTAAATAAGCTCTTTGTCCTGTAATAATCCATCCCCCTTCAATAAGCCCCCCCTCCCAATTTTTGTGTGAAATACGCCCCCGGGGACTTATCTGAAAACTTGTGACCAATTGTTTGTATTTAGATACCAGAAGGTAGCCATTATTTTAAGTAATGTTTGCTTTCTTTGTCTGGATAATCGCATAATGGAGATAATGAATCGCCATACATATTGATGTTAGAATGAAAGTGCTGGATCTCACGTCTTGCTAAATGTCACAGTTTTCTTTCTTTCCATCGAAAGCAAATTCTGATTGGCGGCCCTTTCAGACTTAGCAAGGGCAAAGTCCATTATGACAAACAAACAATAAAAAATTCAATATTTGATTGTCAATTGACCCTAGGTTTGATAGTCCAACGGACTGCTAGAGGACTATTCAAAGGTTTAGCTCCAAACATAGTGTTCAACCTTTTCACCCGCCGAAATAGGCTATTAGTTTTCAAGAACAAGGGCCTCAATGAGTCCTTTTATACACGTATGTAAGTATACAATTATTAGTATAAGATATGTGCACAATACCTTTTTTATATGTTGAACTTGCAAAACCAGATAGATGCAAACATTGCTAAATATCCAGACGAGTTCAGTTCCTCACAAGTTTCTTTCATGCATGCACTTTTCATCAACGTAAAGAAAGAACCTCTTCTCTCCATCTTGCATCTGACCCCAGTGAAAATGCGGCTACAAAGATACATCCTCTTGGTAATTGGTATTACTCAAATGATTTCTCAAGGCATGCATAGCATGATGTATTCCCTCTTGTCCCTGTCTAGTATCCCAAGTGGTCCAGACAACCAATCAATTCCATTTAGAGAATGCTAGGTGATATGCACTCTGCAATTTCAATAGCTATTCACTCTACAACGCTGGGGCATTGCAAAAGATTCCTGCGAAAGATTTTACATTGTTTATTGTCCTAAAAGGGACCAGATTATAGTCTTTCACTGTTTCAAGCGATTTTTAGTCAAAGCATTGTATGGTTACAGCCTTTAGGGTATTACAAACTCGCAGTTATGTGGTTTTGATGTTGAATCGTGGATGTGAAAATGGTTCTGGAAAGCTAAGGCTACCTGGGACAGGAGATTCCTAAACTATTATCTTTTAGAAACAATATTTTATATCAAACTTGCTCTTTTTGAGTACAGCCTTTGTTAGTCAAAAAAACACCATTAAAACGAGTGATTCTGTTATCGGTCAACATCTTTTAGACAACGAAAATTGTGCCAAAAACTACAATGAAGTGTCCAGATAATGGGCAGAGTCGGATTTCAATCTAAAAGATTTGGAATCGGTCAACTAGAAAACGAAAAAGCCGATATGGTGTAGACAGTATAAGTTCGCTTTCACCTTTGGTATCCACTGAAAATTTATTCTTTAGACACACGATGCTGATGGTTAAAAACATCTGTGATTTGCTTGCGCTTTCATGAAGTCTATTCAAATCCGCAACTAAGGACATTTATGACGCTTCATACTCTGCGGAGTGTCGGACAAAAAGTCTAAGTATATTTAAAACGTGTTTTTTCCGATGCCATTAACTATATAAAGAATTATGTCAAAAGAACAAGATATTTTTGGTTAATGGAAGGAGTTGTCACGCCTTTATGTCCATTTGATAAAAAACTTGTAGCAAGCATCAGGTATGTATGAAATTAAAGTTACTTTAATCAAAGACCAAATGTGCTTTCTGTAACTTCAATTTCTAGTTTTCACACTGCCATGAAATTTTTTAGCTTTATATTGAAATTGGTTTTTCAAATTTGCCTCTTGCTTGTAAGTAATGATGTACATATCGCTTACGTTAAAAAAAGTATTGGGAAAAATCCGATCAAAGGACTATGGCGTTGCACTATTGGGGTTTACAACGAAACCTTTTTTAGATGCGAGAAGCCTTTTTTCAAATAAGTTAGGCCTAGGTATCCCAAAAATATGGTGAAAAGGTTGAAAAAACAACTTTTGGTTCATAACTATAAATGCATTGGATTCCTACATTTTTCCTATAAATAATAGCAAAATCTGCAAAAGAGTTGCATGGCCTACAATGTAGTTGAGAACAATCTGATTGAATTCCACAAGATTTAATTCAACGATATTCTCTTCATTCTTCATTCTTCATTCTAAGCAGTGTTTATCCTTCCTCACTACAGAGCAGACCACTACAAAATTTTCTTTGTTACAGCAGCCCTTAAAATTGGAATGATTTCCCCCTTTGCAAAGAGATATCAGTGATTGCATTGCTCAAAATCCGCTAAAGATGACATAACTATTGTCCACAATCATTTAAAAGCAATGCTTCTCTTATTCAATCGACTGAAAATTTGTAAAGTATCAAAACATTAAAGTATTGAAAAAATAGGCGTGAACAGATTAAGTAACCACTAAATTTTATGACTAAAAAATTGTGTGATACCCATTCTTCGAGTTTTGCTAAGAATTTAACGAATATATATATCTTAGCTTTGATTTGTTATAAAACTCTTAAGTTAGGAAAAGATTCTTCAGCATTTTTTGTTTCTAATCTCAATATGTTTCTGATTTCTTTACGAAAATTTAATGCATGTTTCTACTCTTGGCCTAAAGAAAGAGTGTCTTACACCATGGCACAAAGAAATTAATAAAAGCTAAGAGAAGAAGACTGGTTCTAGTAAGTAATCCAGATATTGGCAGTAACCATTTCATAGATATTGAAAAATGCGTACAGAGTGTAACATACTAAGGATCACACACTTCTATGACAAACTAAAACGTGCTTACTAGATATCGGTTTCTACAAGTTGAAAACTATTTTATTAATTTAAACAAAGTTACAGCCACTACCTAAATACCTAATACACATGAAGTTTGCATTTTTCAAATGCTGTTTAATATCTTTATAGACAAATTACTTTGTTTTAGAACATCACAACAACGACAGACTGATGTTTCAAACTTTGGTAAACAAGAGCTTGGCTTAATAATCACATCATTTGAAAAATGCAAACTACTTAAAGAAGCTAGAAGAAGGAAAATGCTGATCTTTGCAACCTGTTGACGCCTTAAATGATCAGTAAATACTGAGACAGGTCTTCGGTTTCTTCCTAAAGCTGGACTTCGACAAAAGTAATAGAATGAACGAAAACATGTCAAGTTGGCTAAAAATCAAAGGAATTTCTTTATTGGCATGGGAAATATCTCTAAAAAAATTAAATGATAGATATTGGTGAAAAATCAAATGAGGGGCCACCCTTAGGCCTTTAGAAAGAATGAGACACCCATTGAGTGAAATAGGACCTTGTTTTGCCTTTTGTACTCTAACTAACTGATATTCGTATATACATCATGGTAAACATAATTATCCATTGTCAAGACCCAAACCAACAAAAAAACGACTAAACTACAACAGCGATCGCTGTCCGAGCAAACTAATGATTATACAACAAAAAGATAAATTTAAGGCAAAATTAGGTCAATAGAGGCCAAGACAACAGGTCCAAAAGTCATTAAGGTCAATCATGAGGTCAAAAAGGTCAGCATGTGCCCTCTACTGTTAAAACCACTCTGCTCGATCAATCTATCGAAGCAGTTACCCTCTGCCTTCAAATATTGAAGACACGCATGCGTATTACACACTGCTAGATATTTAATATAAATAACGGAATTGTTAGATATAAGTTTATATATGCATTATCTTAAATTATTCCATATCTTAATGTATTTCCTCGAACGTTGACTTGAATTGAAGGGAATTCGCATGAGGTGCAATAGAATTCAAATGGCTTCTACGATATACAACGACAGCACTCTTACATTTTAGTGCAATTCAGAAAGTTTACCTTTTTGGTACCTAAGAGTTATCTAAACCGAACAAAGCACTAGCCAACTACGGAAATTTAGGGTTTTATTTTGGTAGGAAATTGAAGAAAATGGAGTTTTGAAAAGCTGGTAGAGTGTGAGCGCTGCGTTCCAAAAAGAATGCTATTATTACTAATCTAAACGTCCTTCCCTTCAAGTAAGTCGTTACCTACGTCATATTTAATACTTTAAGACTCTACAACAAAATTTACAAACACAGAGAGCACGGCAATAGAATCTATTGAATAAATAAGCCTGCAGTCCATTTTCTATCGATTGAAGCGAGAACATAAGGATTTTCTCCCCTCTGCTCTGGAGAAACAATTCTTGAAAAACCATAACGCAAGTTGAATGTTCTTTGCCAAGGGAAACTCACGTAAATTCAGCTATCAGCATCATGTGACAACTCTTCAGTATTAACACCCATAAATAGTGGTGCTGAAGTCCCGTGAAGCAGTGGTGGTGCTATGGTAAAGACTAACAACGTAAGCAAAGCAGAAAGAGCGTCCTCTACCTGCTTGTAAAATCGTTGATTGATTCTAATAGGCCAATGACGCGCAAGGCCAGGTTCCAAAAAGCTTGCGAGAAAGGGCGTTGTCGAGCCTGAGTTCATTTTTTTGAGTTTTGGAATCGTTTGTATATTCACCCAAACAACCAGCCTTTGTTAACGCCCATAGAGGATATTAGCTCCTCTATGGGGTATAATACGGCTAGCAAAGGGGTATAATACTGCCCAACCTGGTCCCTTATAATGATCAGATTGTTGGTAACACGGTATGGAGGCGATCAACTCCAAGAGACTTCAGCACCTGGCCAATGGATGTTACCCGGTTGATGCAGAAACAAATTGCCGGTCATCAGTTTAATATTACAAGAAACAATGTCTTTGAGTTCCCTAGAAAATCTTATAACACCCATAGTCTACATCCTGCATTCAGTACGGGGAACACGGGTATTCCTTTACTTCTTCGTAAGTGCACGCTTCGACGCAGCACTCTTCATTTGCATTGTCCTGGATACTACGCCAACTTCGTCGAACCCGCCGTAGAAACTGCTTTGCTAACTTCTCTTTAAGAACTGGCAAACTTTCTTTCTCTTTTGGAATATCTGGTAAAAGAATAAATTAGTATGTTAAGATTGCAATGAAGCAATTGTTTAATCACTACGACAATTAAAATATTTTCACTTCACGTATTTGAATGTTACGTAGGTGTTTTACTTCACTGGCAACAATTACACTTCCTATCTCACAAGATCCATGCCTACCCGCAGTTAACAAGGGCTTGTCCATCGAATATATGTTACTTGAATGGGAGGCACTAAGCAATGTTTGCTCCATACCACCCCCAAGCTGTTCTAATTGAAGCTTCTACATAAGCAATGCGTCGGAATTATCAACTGAATGTTCTTCTCTCCTTAATTACTTTTCTAACTATCCTGCCAAAGAGCGGTATATGCAAACTAACAACATTTTTTGAGACAATTATAGCCACCCAGATTGTTAAGACTTGAAGCAACGGTATGTTCTAAAGACGGCTTCATTACATCGGCGTTTTTGCTGAGCACATTTATCACTTTATACTTCAAAACATTCTCGTATGAATGAACCAATGTTTGGTTTTAACCTCACTGGGTTGCTATTTCACACTCAAAAGATTCGGAGAAAAATTTCCATCGTCTGTTTTGATAAGGAGCAGCCCGGCATGGCATGCTGACTTGATGAATAGGGGTTTCAAAGTGATTAAAACGATCGCAGAAATGATTCTCTTTTTACAGAACTGCATGCATTTTAAATAGACGACACTGCTGAGACATCCTAAGGCGGAAAGAGGCCGTGGTTTAGCACTGAGAAACGAGAAGAGGAGCTTTGGTGCAAAGTAATCTAAGACATTTGTTTCAATGGGGTGCTTGCTGCGACTAATAATGGGAGATAAAATGCACCTATCATGGAACGAAGTCTGAAATAGTCGGTGCTCTTCCAGCGATAAAAATTAGTTTCAGCGTGGTGGACAAGTCTGATCTAATTGTTTGTATTAAATAATCATTAACTTACATACTGAGAAGCATTATACTTAATAATCTTAAAATTAGTATGCCATTGGTATAATATTCATTGGTAATTAAATTTGAAGCTGTTCACACACAGTCTAAAAGCTTGTAGCACACACCAAGAGAGCAGTCCCTTAGATAAGCCCATGCAACAGATTTTGCATCGATGCTAGCTGGTATCAATGCAGTCAGATTGCAGCATCGATGCAGGATTTTTAAGGCATAGAATATGGGTTAACTCAGCTACAAATAGGGCTTATTAGTTACAAGAATATTAAAAGCTCCTTGGATTTACAAAGGGGCACTTTTCGATTCGAAAACTCGCTTGTGCATGAATCAATTCAATACGCAAGTTTGCTTTTGGCAAGCATTGAAAAAACATCCAGTTTCGAGGAGGTAGAAACATTTGATAAAAATAAAACATTGAAGCCTTGAAGGACACTTACCCTTTTTAATTCTTTTTGGTAAAGCTAAAATCGATCTTTTGCCTCGCATCCCGCCACCACAAAGCAATTTGTAAGTTACGAAAAATTCTTGACCACAAAGCTTCATTGCGTTGTTTCCTTTAACTTCCGAAGTTGTTAAGGTGGATAGCCCCAAGAGGATTGTCAGTGTTATCAACATTGTACAGCATTGAAGTAATGAAATATTCATCTAAAATTAAAGAATAAGAATGTTAAAAGAAAAGGTAGAAGGAAAGTTAACATATCAAAATGCTTGTCAACTCTGACTGGACAAGATACGTCTTGAAACATGCATTAACGTGTATAAAATAATATTTTATTTAAAGATACAATTGTTTGAATAGTAAAATCATTTGGTGAGATATTGGCTACTCAGTCAAAATGATATCAAATACTTCATCAAAATAAAGAAAAAATACACGACCCATCCTTGGTGATTACCCTAGCCTTCCTTCTGCCCCCTCTCAATGAAAAATTTACGCGTCAGATAATGAACAGCGAAAATATATAAAATATTAAATTACCAGTTATGTACTTTCACTGATTAAATTGTTCATAAAAGTTTATTGAATAAAACCCTTCTCTGCAAAAGGCAAGTTAAGGTGAGCCAGGCTTTTAAACATAAAAAAAGAATCACTTTAAATAAATCATAAAACAAAATGGTATTTCGAAATAATAAAAATGTTTGGAAATTATAAGAAATATTAATAAAAGAGAATAAAAATCAAAAGACAGAACGGTTTCATAACATAACAATGAACCTTGGAATTTTGACGTTTCAAAGATCACACCTTCGAACATTCAAGGCCAATCTTCGACAATCTTTGAAAAGTTAGCTGACCCTCTAACTAAATATGAGCGGTGAATAATAAAACCAACAATGGCATGAGAATGATGTACTGGATTAAATAAAAGAAGGTGATATTGAAAGCACAACAAAGGTATGTCGACAAAAATGCAACAAAATCACCCACCTTGCTTATCAATTATAAACCCAAGCTACAACCGTCCGACAGAGACGAAAATCGTGAATGTCACCGAAATGTTACTGACGCCAAAAGTTATACATTTCGCAACGGTCTTACATCAAAGAATGAGCTTTCAAAGAAAGAGGATGATTTATATCCTTTGCAAATAGTCAATTGAGCGATTTTCGGGTGGGCTTATTTACGGAAATGTAAAGTACCGTATCCTAAGCGATTTCACTTCGATCTTATGAATATCTATTACTGGTCCAAACTATAATAGGAAATCGTGACGCAATGAATAATAATCTTTTTCTAATACACTATTTTTAGGAAACAGCGCAGCTCAGTCTACTTTAAATTACATAGTGAAGAAGATTGTACCCTTTTGAATTCGAAGAGGCTTTCAACAGAATAAGTTGAGGTGCGACCTATATACCCGTGTATCAAGCACAGCTTTGGGTGAGGTTAGTCACAAATGAGCTGAATATGAGGCTGTCATGTACCAACAAAGGTTGATGTTTTTCACTGATGTTTTTCAAGGCTCTATCGTTGTATAGTAACAGTGTATGACTGGGGGCGTCATTTTAAATCCACCTAATGGTATATTGTCATGAAAAATTTCCGTGGTCGTTTATAAAAGCGGTCTATTCATAAACATGGCGGGACACTGCGCAAGAAGGCCTCTAAAGGCTAGTTTTTTCATCCAGGGTCCTAGGTGGTAGCGTAGGAAAACTAAATGCGTCGAAGTATATTTGCTTAAAGAATGGTTTTGTGAAGAGTTCCTGGTCTTTTTACTGCATGCAATGGGTGGTCACGAGAAGGCGGAAGGCGGGAATAATAGGGCGCACTAGTCTTGGCTTTCGTTGGGATGGCAACCATTGAGAAAAGTAAGAGCATCGATGAATGAAAGTAAGAGCATTGAGACTTTTGTACAGTTTCTCTAACCACATATGACGTAAAACTGATCACGCACGGATCACATGCTACGATGGGTGAATCACGTAGAAAGAGTTAATGGAGGAAGCTTAAAGGGCATATTATATTTTGTCCTAGTTGTATGCTTATCAAGGCTTTATAACTATCATGGTTTGCGTACAAAGGCCTTGAGGCATCAGTTGCGAAATCTTAATAGCATCAAATCATCTTATTTAAAAGAAATGTGCTTGGACTGCAGGTTTTATCAAGCCAACCATCAGTATACCGTCTCTTCAAACCACTGGAGAGATTTCGCAGGTCCAACTGAAGGTAAAAAGTTTTCGATGCAGTGGCATCCACAGAGCAAATCTGAGGCTTATAATAAGCACGAGCAACATTAAACGGTCATGGAATGCTTCTAAAAGCTAAAAGCACGGTAATCCAACAGTGGGTGTGGTCCCCATCTGCCTTTAACCTCAGGTTTGAGCTGCTCATCCGTCTGCTAAATCGCATCAGAGAGAAAGCAGGCCAAGCTGCGAAATATTTCTGGAAGATCATCGTTTTGAATATCCCCATTTAGCAAGAATAATGTTGCATCTGTCAACGGTTTCAAATTCTCATTAATGTGGATTAACCGAGAGATGCTGGTGGTGAGGTATTTTTTATGGAAAATATGCCTGTAACTGCTGGTGATTAACAAAAAAGAACAAATAAAAAAAGAAGGAAATCAAAAGGGAACACAGAAAAATGCTATAGGAGAGCAATGGAAGAATGGAATAAAAGAGTCTCAAATTAGAATGAGAACGCGGTCTACAGAACATGTATCCAAATACACTGTATCTAGACAGATAGCTAAAAGCAAGAAAAGCAAGTAGAATTCAATTCTTTTCATGTGCATTTAAACGGAAAGAAATGGTCTACATTTAGCAAAGAGATCTGTCTACATATTCCATGCTTTTAACTAAGAAATTGTTTGGAACAACAACAACAACCTTCTTGGAATATCAAAAATAATCAACTGTGTAGATCGCCATAGAAACCATATAGGCTGCTGTAATAGGCCTAAATAATATAGTTGCAGCTTTCAGGCTTATCTTAACTATCTTTGTATGGAAGAATATTCCCCATTCAAGAATCAATTTCTAAAATAGTAGATGAATTTACGTTTTTATTCAAAAGATTATTTCAGTTCAGATGTCAATTAACGTTGATGATCCCTAGCCTTCTGTTTGGTCTAAGTGCGACAAAAACAAGCTGACAATAAGGACATCCCTGACCTTAAGAAAATCGATCTAAGAAAAAGAAGTGTTTTCCTATTTACTCTGTTAAACATTTGTTAACTCGATAAAAGTTAATAGACTTTGAAAAGATTTATCGAATTCAGATTTAAATATTCTCAATTCCTGAGTTATAATTCTAACCAAAATGAAGTCAAGTGTGGTTTTTAATCTTTTTAGACGAATTATAAGCAAACGGATTTAGGCCGAGAACCATTGAGATTAACGTTGTAGCCCTGTGTTGCATGGTATGCTGTGCAAAATATAGAGGCTCATTTCTAACAAGATATTTGCATATTAGCCGGTCGGGAATTAATGAATGGTAGGGCAACTGCAAAAACAAGTTAATTGGCTGCTTATGGCAACGTCGCGTGGAACAGCTGACCCAATTCAGCATTTTCAGAAGATAGTGATATGTACAACATGCTTCTTAAAACAAATAATGCAAAATGCTTTTAAGGAGATGAATACTTCCTTGAATCGCAAGCTAATTACAAATGTTTTTATACCAAATTGCCTGGTGGTCAGCAAATACCAGGCCATATTGCCATACACCCTGTAAACTTTGGAGATCGTTACGATAGGAACTCGTTACGTTTGATGTATATTTGTGAACTGAAGTGGAATCTTTTATAAATAAGAATAATAAAATGAAAAACGAAGTATGTTCAAAACAGTATCTTCAAACTAAGGTAATGGAAATTAATCTCTTTGCCCCATCTCAAGATGGTTTGTACATTACACAAGCTATTCAACGTTTTGTCACAATCAGCCTGGGCACAGAGGTAGCAGAGCTTCTCGTTGCACCACTAGGGACAATATCCTGGCACCAGCTTGAGTTTCACCAAGCTACCCATGTTTCGATATCGTAAAATTTTAAAATTGCATGAACCAAGCTCATTATGCATCATCGGATGTTTACAGCATGCAAAGCAGCGGTGATGGCGGGAGACATTCGCCGAATTCGGCGAAGTGGCTGATTTCTTTGTAAGGAAAGTACACACAACTCTCCATCATCACATCTACAGAAAAAAGCTCCAGTCTAGAAATAAATGGCATCGTGCCCCACATTACTGTCAACTTTTTAAGATCATGGACGATGAATGATGCTGATTTTGGAATCGTTTGAATTAATAACAATTCAATCGTTTGACCATTAATTTTATCTATCAAATTTCTATAATCAAGTTTGTAAGGTCGCACTTGGAATTCGATAAGATGAGGCCGAGAATGGTATCGTTTGCCAACATTTCTATAGATCAAAATCGAAGCTAGCAGACTTCGACTTCGGTTTGTCTTAGAGGCTAGCAGCTGTTGGTGGGTTGACGAGCGCTGATGTTACTGTGAAGTTATTATAAGATGAGCCATAGAATATATCCCTTATTAAAAGCAAAAGAACAGCCCAAACATGAAGAAGAAACAGCTCCAGATCACAACTTTGTTGCCCTACGGAGTCCAAATGTATTGAGACCCACCCGACCTGATTCGTTCTAGAAACACCCGGAGCAGTCACTGTGTGGACAAATAGTTCGAAGTGCGTTGTCTTCGTATGAAAATATTTTCTCACAAGGATCGGGAAATCATGCTTTAAGTATTCTTGTCGCTAGAAAGGCGTAATAAATCAAAACAATAAAACACACAGGATGAAATGTTTGGCAAGCCATGCAACATGTTTCTCGTCATTGCTTCATAGACATACAGGGATTAAGCTTCGCACCGAAGATGTTATACTTTGGTAAAAGGGAGATGTTTGATAATAAACAGGTCATATTTTTATCTTCTTAAACAATTTATTTTTGAGGACCAAGCAATGACCTTGAAAACAAGAATGATTTTGACGTTGTCATTGGAGTCACTTTGAAAAAAATTTGTATCAACAAATATTAGTATATTTTACCGGAGCGTTGAGTAGAAACTAAGCGTTTCTGAGGAATAAAAAATGCAGCTATTTTTATCAAGCTAAATCAAGAATGTCTCTTGCTGGCTACTAAATTTAGTGGAATATTATTAGAGTTGTAAATGAAGAAACG